ACTACGAAGAAGAGGAAACGCACCGATGCTATATCTATAAATTTTAGCAAGGCGTTCAAGAAGGTCTCTCACTTAAACTGTTTCCTAAACTACGCGTTGTGTTAAAAATGACAAACTAATCGCAGAAATTGAAGCTTGCTTTACTGAGCGCCATGAATTTGTCGATATAAGTTAAACAGTGTCAGATATATATTTCCTGTCAAGTGTGGCGTCCCCCAAGAATCTGTTTTAGACCAACTTTCTTCTTGTCATGTATAAATGATATCACTGATGAAAATTGCGTGTTTTATTAGCAAATAACGGAATACCAGCTTAAGTTAAACAGAGAATTTAATAAGCCGGAAGAATTCGGCAACGTTTTTCATGAATAATAATACTAAAAGTCCCACGATCAAATCTACAAGCTGCTGTACTTACTCACCAGCTTGACTAAGTGTGCGTCAATATTAACAACTCTGAACCGCGTACAGTAGAATCCAGCGACTCTGAGGGTTCAGTATAAGGCCTCCTACGTTTTCTATTATACCTTAATGACATAGCATTGCATGTTACTTGCAAAATCCGCTTGTGTTATGAAAATTGCGTTATTTACCGTTTAGTTCTTTGCAATACTGACTAGTTCGCTCTTAAACAAGAGTTTCACAACATTCAAGATTGGTTTCAACGCGGGTGGAAGGTTCTAAATTGCTGTATCTGAAAAACAAAGTCTCTTTCTCGCCGTTGTAAGCCTTTGCAATTCTGATATGAAATGGTACATCAGCAACTACAGATTGTAATCCATTAAAGTAGTGAGCTGTGACGACATCTAGTCACCTCAACAGGTGTGCGCATGACACAAACGTATTCTCATGGTCTAACAAAACGTCTTGGTTTTTACGATGACAATTACAAAGCGCTATCCCAGCATGTGAAACTACTAGCTTACAAGACACTAATACGGCCCAAACTGGAGTACGCATCAGCCGTTTGGAATCTTCGCTGGATTTTTGTCACAAACACGCTCGAGACCTTTCAGAATCGTGTCATTGGTTTCATTCATTGCGCCTTTGCATATGATATCAGCGTAACATATTTAAGAGCAGAATCTGGCTTAAAAAACTTGAAGTTGACGTCGCAAACTTAGTTCATCATTATTGGATGAGTTCTACCACAACACGCTAAATCAAACGCCGTATATTTTGCCATCATCTCACATATCTTATCGCATTGGCCACCTTTTAAACGTTGCCCATCCTTATGCTGGTACATTCGCATAATTTTTTTTCCTCGAGCAGCGAAGGACTGAAATGACCCTCCGCAGGATATTTATTTATTTTATTTATTTATTTACAGGATTCCTCCTGGCTTCAAATTGAAGCCATAAGCTGGAGTGGGTAACATATAAATATAGCACACTGAGCATTTTCGCAATATATCACGCACAGATGATTTGATTTGTGGTGTTTAACGTCCCAAAACCACGCTATAATTATGAGAGACGCCGTAGTGGAGGGCTCCGGAAATTTTGACCACCTGGGGTTCTTTAACGTGCACCCAAATCTGAGCACACGGGCCTACAACATTTCTGCCTCCATCGGAAATGCAGCCGCCGCAGCCGGGATTCGATCCCGCGACCTGCGGGTCAGCAGCCGAGTACCTTAGCCACTAGACCACCGCGGCGGGGCTATATCACGCACAGAGAATGCCGTGGACACACAGGTTTTAACGCGCTAAAAAGAAAAATATACAGTGCATGACATGCAATTGCGCATAGCATAATACCTAAATAAGTGCGTACTAACATCACTTGTGTACTACGAACGCTACGTCACAAAACAAAGAGTACAAATATGGCAGGAAGACATGCTATAAGTTTTTTAGCTCTGATAAGAATGACGCCACTGTCGCTGCCTCCACAATCCCACCAGGGAGGCGATTCCACTCACGTACAGTTCGTGGGAAAAAAGAGCCCATGTACGAGTTCGTTCTGCAAGAAAATTTCTGTAATTTTTTTGAGTGATCCGCCCGCGTGAGTCGTCACACGACTTTTGCTATATACGCACTTGAATCAATGCCAAGCTTATCGTGGTAGAGCAGGTACATATATTTTAGTCTTTCGCGATATCGCCGCAAATGTAAAGCTTCCAAGTCTGAAGCAAAGCAGTGACTGACGTAGCGCGATTGTATAAGCGAAAGATAAATCAAGCAGATTTTATTTGTAGGTTTTCTAGTTTATGAATATTTTGCTTTCTGTATGGGTCCCAGACCACGCAGGCATATTCCAAAAGGGGACGAATGTAGGTTTTATATGCTAATAGTTTTACTTCTTGCGTTGACTGTCGTAACAATCTTGTAAGATATCCAAGGTTTTTCATGGCTTTCTCTTCTAGAAAACTGATATGTTAATTCCACCGGAGGCCTGAAGTGATGATTAAACCTAAGTATTTATAATGATTTACAGCACTAAGACAGCGACCATTTATTGAATACTGGAAAGTAAAAGGTGCCTTCTTTCTTGATTGATTTGTGGGGTTTAACGTCCCAAAACTACCATATGATTATGAGATTCTTTCTTGAAATTGTCATTGAGATGATTTTGTAGTATTGATGCCCATGTGCCATTTTTCACACCAAATATGTAGTTTGTCCAGGGCACTACTTAATAATGCCTGGTCAGCAGGTGTGTTTACTTGCTGATAAAGCATGCAATCGTCCGCGAACAGTTTGATTTTGGCAGGTATATCGTTAACGATATAATTTATACAAACTAAAAAGAATAGTGGCCCGAGAACCGACCCCTGGGGAATGCCTGATCGCACGGGCGCCGGGCGTGAACACGAACCGCCAACTGATACGCATTGACTCCTAGACGATAAGTATGACTCTATCCACGAGAGAAGTGAGTTATTTTGTAATATGGGTTTTAATTTTAACAAAAGCTTATGGGACGAGACGCGATCAAATGCCTTCTGGAAGTCCAAAAAAGTTATATTGATTTGACTCTGTTTATCTAAGGGTGAGGCAAACTCGTGTATTGTCTCAACGAGTTGGGTAACCGTCGACATTACCTAATCGAAACCATGTTGGCGGCAATCAATCAATTTATTTTGTTGCAGAAAGTTTGACAAGTGCGTAAAAATAATATATTCTAGCAATTTTGAGCAGGTACACAGTAGAGATATTGGTCTGTATGTTGTAACTAGTGAAGGATTTTCCGCCTTAGGGATCGGAACAACCTTCGCGCTGCTTCCAATTCCTCGGGAGTTCTGCAGTATCACCAACTCAAGCTCAACTGCCTTCATGGAAGCAACCGCATCACAATATGTCATGTAACAAAGTGTTCACCTTGTTGTATATCTGGTAACCCACCCGGTCCTTGTGTAACACCTCCTAGTGCGGTCTTTATGAAATGAAAGTGAAAGTGAAAGTAGTTGCGCGCGTAAGCAGTGGGAAATATGTATTAATTTTGAAACCACAGTACATATGACCATAACAATGACAATGAAGCGAGTAATGTATTATTATGGTACAGAATACGTTCGTTTGTCAGAAGTTGGGCATGATAAATACCTAATCCTTCACTTAAAGAATTGTAGTCTCGCGGTCAAGACAACTTGCCTAGTGTTGGCAAGCTGCCATAGTAAATTGTTTCTTTAGGATGCTTGTTAGGGCCATTCCCATCAAAAGTACTCCTGCTGGCTTATAAAACACTCGCCCATCCCACTTTAAATGAGGCCTAACTATAAGGGAAACCTTCACAAAAACCGCATTTGGAAAACGAAAAAGCATACAAAAAAAGAAAAAGGTGTTATGTTTGTCCATGAGGCACATGGCCGCTCTTCAATCTCTAATATAATATTTCAAGGTGGCTTACCTGCTATAACTAATCGAAACGGTATGTGTCATCTAAAATTCTTTTTTCCTACTTGTCAAAAGTCACTACAAGAGCTACGCGTCACACCTTCTTGCTTATTCGCCTCGTTATGATGTCAGGCCCACCCACTAGCTGCATTCGCGACAATTGTCAACTGTTTGAAGTATTCTTTTCTTTTTCCTAGAATGATAGTGGATTGGAAGAAGTTCCCAATAAATTGAGATAAACAGCGCTACAACGGCACAGAAGGAACCCGACCAAGCACTTAATCCAGCTCTTTTCTTCCTTGTCACATTGTGGCGCCGTTTTTTCTAATTTCAGTATGTAGCGCCAACAAGCATGCATTATACTCCGAATCTGCCTGTTAAAACTGCGACACAAACTTCACTATCGCAATTCAGTAGAAACCATTATGATGTTTGGCTGAAATGTCTCGTGTGTTCCCTTTTCCTTCTTTTTACTCGTGAAAAGTGATTGTCTAATTGGTTTGCAAACTGTAGAAATAACGCCGCTTGCCTGTCTCTTCGATTCTTCAAAGCACATGCGGAAATATAAATTCGTAGACCATTTTTTGTAATGTGTTATGCACCTGTTATCTACCCCGATGACAGGACCTAGCACTTATTAGGTAAACAAGTAAATCAAAAGTAAATAAATAAATAAATAACTATAAAAAAGGACCCAACATTTAGAACTGCGTCCTCCCAGCCTATTCGCTGACAGGTCCTACAGGGTGGCACTCGTGGTCTTTTCGCCTTCACATCTAACGATTACTGCCACAGGAAAGCGAATTACTGGCGCCATCTACGCCATTCTTAAAATGCGAAGGATAACGAGGTACGTTGCAGCTGAACGGGCTTATTTATTAAAAGCATTCGTCGAAGCTGGCTAGAGCATTATGCGCGCAGCTTTTTATTCCACAGCGTTTTTATTTCCACCCGTCTGTATACAAAGAAATGTAAAGAAGAATGCATTCTTTAAAACCTGACATCATAAAAGTGAACATGGAGGTCAAAATGCACAATTGTTAGTCGAGAATACAATCTATAAACGGAAAATGGAAACAAACTACATACAGAAAGTGCTGCTGTACCTATAGCCATGGCGGCTATAGGTACAGTGTTACCACATTTGTTCAGCGCTTTCGCAAGTGTCCCCTCTTACTGCATCCCTCTGTCCCTCCACAGCGTGAAACTTTACAGCATTTGTCTATAGATGCAATTTCGTAAACGTTAGCAGAAATGTGCTCGCACACACGCATTACACAATAGGTGCCTATATGGCCAAGCTATATCGACGAATGGAATAGTTAGGCCGAGCCGTTGTGTCCTGAAGGTAGGCTGTTTCCCACTCCGTACTTGTTAAGCAGTAGCATGCGAGAAAAGCATGTTCTCACAACTTTTCTTCTCGTGGTCTTTATCGTGGCATTGGTATGCGGCATGGTTCTATGGAAACATGTTCCCAGTATGCGCGACGTAAGTACCTGTCACTTTAAGCCACCGTAAAGTGCGTTATATCTGCTTAATGTGCAGTATCTCTGTTTTGAAAATCATTTAGGTATATTCTGTCACATTTTCTTTGCCGAAGAAGTATAGAATGAAATAGATGTGGTTTTTAACCACAAGAATGAGTGAATTTGACTTTATTTGTTTGTTTTAGTGAACAATATCAGGTACAATTGAACTAAGTGGAGAGCTTTCAAGTGCTCTACGTTGTAACCAAGGAGTAATCTAGGTAGACACCTTTATTGCACGTGTGTGTTTCAATTAAAAATGCTTGAACATTTGCTGCTGCTAATGGGTATAATTAAAGTTTGCGTATGAAGTCCTTTGGGTCGTACGGCTCCGATGCCTCCATTTATGCAGAAATTGAGGTAGGGTTCACGCCAGTTAATTTAACGTGGGTTTTCATTTACGCATCACTTTCAACTATAAATACAAACGTTTGATATTATCTGCTGTGTGGATCCCTCATGCATGCCTAACTGTTGTAGCTTGATTTTTGCAGGAGTACAGTTTAATAATTAGGTTAACTCGTTTATACTTGCGGAAACGGATACCATCACTTCAGAAATGGGTTTTGTTGTCCCCAGTGAGAGTACACATGCCTATTAATGCCTCCACCCACTCTTTAATACTGAGTTAGCACACAAGCTTGAAAGAAGACAGTTAAGCAATATTGCTAGTGATCACACAGATTGTGCAGCAGATAGAGATTCATATGGTCATGAAACCTTGTTTTTATCAGCCTCGTTTGAAATCTTTACGTCAGAGAAACTGATCGTGTTTGCCAGCCTATTGTTCTTGGGCGTTGATATAACGTTCACAAAAACCTGTGAGGATAGAAATTGTTATGCTGAAACAATGCTATCTGAGGAATCCTTTCTAGGTGAAAGCTTCTTTTCCTACTCTTGTTATATCACGTGAGAGAAGATCGATCGCAGGGGTGGCATCAAAGTATAGCTTCTTTATTACATTCTGCTTGTTCACATGCAGATAAACTAATAATCAATGCATTAGTACGCATTCTTCCACATGTGTTGAAGAAAACTCCTGATTCATGTTTTCTTTTCAGTTCGTAAATACGACAGAAATAATATGGACGTACTACACAAGTGAACCTACAAAAATTGAGTGTAAGGCAGACAAAAAACTGTACCTCAGCTTGCTTTCCATTGAATTCCAACGATCTTATTACTACAAGATGAAAAAGTAAGTTCACACAAAATTACTAGTATGTTTCAGTGCAATAAAGTTTTTTCTGTGCTATTTCCAGGATGTGCTACTCGCTAGTCGGCAGGTTTCATCCCAAGCACAATGACGTCATGATAATTCACTCTCCAGGTAATGCAAAGTTCAAGTTTAGTGGCACATGCTGAAAAGTTTACGAAACCCCGCGCACTACAGTGAAGTCGCAACGCTATTTTACCATAGGAGCGGAAAGCTATGAGAACACCTTACCGGGACACGGAACAGATTTAGTACGTAAGCTGAATTACTTTCGAACACAGTGAGCAGCAAAATCGTCATAAAACTTGCGATACACCATTCAAAATGCTTTGTTAGCGAGGAACTTCGAGCCTATCCTGCATGGTGCGCTCAGATCGAATCCTTGATTGGTGGAATGAATCGTTAAGTGATTGTCGGTGCAGACCAGAACTGCAGCTGCTCACAAATATGCAGTGCGGTAATTTTACGTACGCTTCGACATAGTTTAAATGCGGCAACCTAGTAAGTATCCAGAAATGACGAGAGCGCTTTCATGTAAACAGAATTCGGGGTATAACTATAACTTGTGTACATCGAAGAAAAGGGGCCAAATAGACACAAAAAAATGAGGCGGACTGACGCAGTGTAAATGTTGCAGGTTTTTGCTGAAAACGAACTGTTATTCAGAGATTGCAAAAGTGCTTCAACCTGCAGCTTTTCCCAAAGGCATAATTCGCGTCACGAAAGTATTTGTGTCCTTTAGAATTGGAGGTTACATCGCTCCTTGACAGTAGCACCGATGATCTGAACAACGCCAAGCCTATTTCTTTTAGACTTTTGCTTCTAAGAATAAGCGTGTGGTGGGATGAAAACATAGTATATAGACGCTGCGAGAAAAACACGGACTGTTCAGGTGCTTTGACTAAAAAAAAAATGCTCGATGACAGGCTGGCGTAACAATACGAATGATATTCTCCATGTCGTCTCTGACAACAGCAGCGCTTTTGTGCTTCGTGCTGAACAGGATTCGAATGGTCGAAAAATACACACAAGACTAGTGAATCTGAATGAAACCTACGCTACATCTTTGCTGGTACGCCGCATTTTATGTGTGTTCAATCGTTGTGCATCTGTAATGCCGCAGCGAATGCCATAACATGTTCAATCGGACACCATATGGTATTATGCGTTCAGGCTTAGCCGTCATTTTAGTCCCACACTGTTATGTAGAGTAAGAGAGGGATTCATTTTGTGTACAGTGAATTTCACTTCGATTGGTGTGGAAGATATAATTGGAGCAATGAGTGAACTATATTAAAAATGTGGGACATGTATAAAACTTCATCCAAATAAACCCTGGTCTAGCAAACCTGATTTCGTGAATTCAAGAATTTAATGAACAGATTTCCACACATTCAACTAGTCAATTTCTTCTATGAAACCTTGTATTTCTGTTTTCTCTTCTTTATTTCGTGTTTCTTTGCCATCCCACAAAAATCGCGTCGGGCACGGCAGTTACGAAGGGCCTTCAGTTTGCCAGTTCACAGGGCACGAGACACGCGTAGCAGGACGAAATAGCTGCTTCCTCAAACCACACGGTGTCCGAACAACGCGCACCTGCATAGAGTTCATTCGTTGTCAGGTCATGCCCAGCCACAGACGCCGTGTACGAATGCCGATTGGTCTCCGCATCCCTATGAACTAAATGATGTTGTTCTAATCTACTCGTTGATATGAAGCAATTGACAAAAGTTTGGCAAAAAAAACAGAAATATTGCAGAGCTCATTGTGAGAGTGAACATTCTTTGAACAGTTTCAAAAAGTCAAGTGAGAATCGCAAAAGGAAAACAATTCTTTGAATTACTTTTCAGCACGACTTCATGCTGCAGCCAGTTACATGGGCATTGAGCGTGCTATCTCAACATAACAGACTAGTGTTTTTGGCGATCCTGCATTTTCCGGATATAAAACGAATCCGCAATACAGCAAAAAAAAAAACTGTGCAAGCTAAAAATAAAAAGCTTCTTTTGCGTGGTCACATTCTATTTGAAACCAATGTGAACATCTTCATTTAATATCTTCATCAGCAGCTCTCTAATACTCGATAGTTTTATTTCAGACATAGTTACGTAACATGAATTATCTCACGGAAGCAAGGCAAAGGAGACTCGTACGTCTCCTCGCGAGGTCTTCACCCCGGACTCACACGTCGGAAAGCCAGGAGCAAAACCAGAGAAAATAAGTACAATGCTCAAGAGAAAAATATGTACAGAGAAACCAGAGAAAAGCACATAAGTACAATGCTTATTGCACAGCGTATATAAAGAAAAAAACAAACCAAAACATTAGGACAAAAAATTTTTCAAGTTTGCATTGTTTGGGCTTAACAATTATACAAGTAATATGAATATACAGAACAACCTAATTTTCACTGTTGATTGGAAACAATTGTATATTTCAAGGAGACAGAAAATGTTGCTTTACTTGTTTTTTAAAACACGACATAATTCAGTTTTGATTCGTCAATTCGATTACGGACGGGTAGGCATTAAACCTATAAAATATTCTGATAATCTATGGTTTTAGTACCGTAATTAGTCCGTGGTCTTGATCCCGCAAATGAATTGTTGCGAAGGTCATATGCCACTTCTCTGCTTAGATATTTATTTGAGAACGTGGTACTATAATGTTTGAGTTCGTTGAACATCATTGTGGGAGTTCGTAGAAAATCCATACACGCAACGAATTCGAAAAAAATAGTTTTTTATTCTTACACACAAGGCCTCCTCGACGATGTAAACAATTATTATTCACAAACGCCAGAAAAAGGTACACAAATGTACTTCTGCATTCTGTAATAATGAGTTGGCACTTACATTCGTTCGTTGAGTTTTTACAAAATTATGGTGCGGACATAAGTGGCGCATGATTAAAGTTGATGCAGTGAAAGTTGGAAGCATACATGGAACTTGCCACGTTTTTTTAGAAAACGAAACTGAAATACGTGTATGCCTGGATGTATTACTTAAATTTCGAACGTAGAGTCTAAAAGTAATCAACAAAACACGCAATATCTATTCGATAGAGCTTTCTATAAATACAAAAGAGGGAACTTTGGCGCTCTGAGGCTGTAGGGCACGGTGCTTTGACGAGCATAGAAATGACTGTTAGTAAAGCAACCTGTCAAATCCTCGCACTTTCGTCTTAGTTTGTATTGACGTTGCTTGAAGTTGCTTTGTTAAAAAATGACAATTAGCAAATCTTCGTCTGTTCCACTTCACTACTTTTACTTTTCAGACACACCAAATAAATAGGACAGACCGTCCTTCGATTCGAAAGAAAACCAAGATTTGTGAAGTCCTTTAAAAGGCGAAAAAAAACACGCTTCTACTTTATATATTACGTTTTCAGAAAAACACTAATAGCAATAAAGAGAACATATAATTGCCATTATGACGAATATGCTAGGTCTGGTGGTAATCTAAGTAACTACATTTATTTATTCAACAGTAGCGTCGATAGTATTCGAGATAATTCTAAGATTATGAAATAATAATGTACAACATTAGAAAAGTAAAAAAAGAAAAGCGAAAAATCAGCAGTACACAGGAAATCGGCTCGTACAAAACTACCTTGAGACTTCTACATTACCTATGAAGTAGCGGGTCCAGAATACCTCAGCAGGTGAAACAGAATCACACGATTATGCGCTTTTTCAAATACATACACACAAGCACGAAGGAAAAAAAACTCGTCAAGTCGCAGCCAACAAAATTGAGTGCTACAAGATAAATAGAGTATTACGATATGCTCTTTAAGCAAAGTGTTTAGTTATACAACATACCTTCAGGCATAGTACAATATACCGCCAGACGTGGTGCCTACTTACAAGACATACCCTTAGGCATACTTATTACTTAGTTGCCTTTATTATAAAACCACAATACACCACGTAATGACAACTAATTATTGGACTATATGCTGTGTTTTGCTTCTAGGTAGCACTTTTAAGCAAACAGAAAGTATTGAATATCTGGATGGAATGCTTGCCTGCGCAGTCGTGAAGGTGACAATGCCTGGCTCAAGTGAGTTGCGATGTGTCGATGCTTTCATTAATGCTGAAATGTAATTCGTGGAAAGACAGGCCGTAAGCTTGCAAAAGAGGAGAAACAAGGAAGACAAGAAGAACGGCAACACACTACTTTTTGTGAGTTGTTTTTTTTCTGTGTCCATCTTTTTCTTCTCTTTTGTAACCTTTCGCCTTATCATTCACGAAAAAATTATGCGTGAACTGACCCAACATCACCGTATTGTTAACGTAAAGTGTAGGGTTTGTTTTAACACTGATTTTCAACTACTGCAGGCTTTATATGGGCTCTTGCAAAACTGTGTACTTCGCACTAAATCCAGACTAATAAGATGAAACCGATAGTTTTATTGCAATGTAGACTGTATACATGGTTAAGGTTCATGGCTTTTCACTGCTGCCGTTTGATTCGTCGTCACCGTAAATTTATGTACAAAACTCAGTTACATAGCACTCTCTCGCACAATTATGCTTCGCACTAGGCAAAATTCAAGAGCGATGGTGACGACCGCAGCTGATGTGGAGATGAAACCGGTTGGCCGCCTCCTGTTGCACGGAAGTTAAAGCGATATCATTTGCCGACATGCGCGGTCTGTCATGAATGGCTCGTCTAAAAGAAAGAAAAATCTCTGCCTGTCTTACGTGAAAAACAAGAAGGGAGGCCAGGAAAGGAGATGAGCAGGGTCTGCGTCGCTTGAAGGACGCGTTCGCTTGTGATCTTTGCTCGTAAAATGCGGGCACCTTTAAGCTTCGCCTAGTGAAACGTGATGTCACTATCCCCATGCACGTGCACAAGCGCACCGAGAAGCATGAATCGCTAAGTCGAGCTCGCGCATTTTTAAATGCATGCCGACAGGTTCATTAGACGGTGAGGGCGCATTGGTGCTAAAAGGCTCAATCATAACATTTGTGGTGGTTGCGATGAGGCTGCAGTAGTCACCGGATACGTCGTTTTCTGTCCGACCTTGACGTAGTGTTATGGCTCGGAATAGTTGCATTTGTTGCGTTATTCTCTGCACACTTCGTACCACCGGCCCGATCTTTGACAAATGTTTCCTCGAGTCCAGATGTTCGCAGGACATCCTCGACCGCTGTTGTCAAGGTGCCGAAGACCATTTCGTTGGGTTCGAGGACAGGCCAAAAGGTCTGACGGTGATTCGTTCTTCTGTGCTGTGGTTCTGAACGCAGAAGAACGGCCCGAACAGCTTCATGTGCATGGTCTTGTCAAACAGGGAAGAAGCAATGATGTAACGCCATGTGTCAAAAGCCGGTATGGACAGATATCTTGAACACTGTCCAGTCTGTTTGACGAATGTATTGAGGAGCTAAGCAGATAAACCACATAAACATTTAGTACACTGACCCTCAAGATACGCTACGTATAGGAGATGGCCAGTGTTTTTTCATATAAAATTCGTCTCTCTTCTTTCAACGGATCTAATGTTGCGTGATCTTCACCAAAGTCTTTGTCTCTTTGCATTCTGTCCAAGGCTCTACTTGCTTCTGCTCTTATTACTTGCAGGATGTATACTTTTTCTGGGCTACTACTTCTTGCATTATCGAAGGCGCGCGAGTAGCCAGTTCGGATCCATTGTAGATCCCGAATGGCCACTCTAGATCAAGAGGGGTAGCAGATGTGCACTCTGTCGACAGGCGTAGCGGGGTACGTCCACGTAGACCGCATTGAGCGTAGACGTGATGTAAGCCTGGGCTCATGCTTACCATTTACTTTCATGGTGTCGAAGAAATATGTCTTTAGGAATACCCGTATGTGCGATGTTTGTGCTACCTGTTCTCATGCGCATGGCAGGGTGGAGAGGCTGATGCGAGCGAATTGGCGGCGGCCGGTATTGCTTCCGCGAAATCGCTACAGCTACGCTGCGCAGTGGGCTTAGATCAGTTTCTCGACAGTGTAGTAGATGCCTCTACGTCGCGGAAATACGCGACGTAGAGGTCATACTGATGGCTTCGAGGCCACTCGATGCTGTCTCTTTAGGAGCACAGTAGATGAAGACTTAAGGCAACGCGTACGTGAGGGGAGAGATGACGAAGGCGTGGATTAGCTGGAACAGTTGTTTCTGTACTTATCTCGCGAGCACGCAAGTTAGCGATGAGGTGTGTTGTTTGAGGTATGGTACCGGTGAGCCGTTCTATGCAGTGGTGTTGCGAGAGAGAGTGTGTTGCGTTATTTCGATTGAACGAATAGGCCTAAAATGCACGTGTGGTCAACGTGCGTTATGACTTCACCATCGGCGTAGAAAAATATGGCTGGAAGGGGATAGGAGTTTAACCAACGTTGGTTGAGAGGACGAAGCAGTTGTAATACAGATTCGCCTTTCGAGTACATCAGGCTCATCTGCATCGCATAGTTAACGATGGCGCTCACTGCAGTTTGGAGAGTCTCCTCGATGTATTCGTATGAGCGCGTAGTCATCCGCAGTTTGGCGTCGTCGGCGTGAATAATACAGCGGAGCCTCAGGATCTCATCCAGCGAACAAGGGAGCGTGCGCACGGAAAGGTTAAATGCGTATGGAGACAACAGCGCTTCTTGAGGGTTGACCTTGTCTGTCTCCGAGCGAGAGGTGTGTAGAGGCGCATCCACTGGCAAACAAGAATTCGACGATGCGGTTGACAAGGAGGACGAAGACGTAGTTACAGCTTCGTTCGCCAGATCCGGTGGCTATGACGATGGAGGTAAAGCAGTGTGTCGAACCAAGTTCAAAGCCTTTTGGACCTCAATAATGGGGGAAACATGAGTACTGGCTTCTGGCGAGACCGAAAGGAAGTCGCAATGTATTTGCACGAGCATGTTTTTCGTCCTTAAGTGGGCGTGAAAGTCGAGCACCGTGGCATGTAAGAGGTAGCTTTCTGCAGCGGAAGCCTGCAATCGTGCTAGGATGACGTGTACCGTTAGCTTGCCAAGAAAGTAAGCGAGTGTTATATGGCACGGGTTGGTTGGAGATTTTCATCTTTTTGCCTGGTTTCAGGATGCACTAGAAATCCACATTCTGCGAGAGTGCGCCAATGTGGGCTATTTGGTAGGTAATTAGGACGTGAACATGCAAACACCGCGGAACAAATGAGGGTGCGTAAACCACTGGCGGTTGTTAGCTAAGTACCTACGTTTTTTGTTCTCTTATCACCCTGTGCTTAGCGTTATTTGTCGACCTTAAGTTCACGTTAAATGCAGCATAGGTAACATAGAAATAATCCGTCTAGTGCAGGTCCTTGGCGTCGAATGTCCTTCTTATGAGACGAGGGTGCGTACTTTTTGCTGACCAGAAATATCGAGTGAGCTTGCAGAGTCGCCCTGCGTTCGCCAGGGCTTTTGCCATCGATGGCATATGGAAAAAAGGAATATACGTTTTTCATGCATAAAAGGCACACTCTGGTCGCATGGTGTATCTCACATGTGCATACAAGAGGGCCCGTAGCACGTAGGCGGAATATCCGCTGGTGCTTAATCGTAACTGACTCGATAGCATGTGAATACAAACGCGTGAGGGGAACAGAGACGATTCTGTAGGTAGAGGAGATTACATAGTTTCCGGGTATAACGTGGCAGCAGAAAGCACAGGACTAAGTTGATTGTCGTCGGACCATAAGAAAGGCCTATGTCCTGCAGTGGGTTTCGTGATACACACACACACACACACACACACACACACACACACACACACACACACACACAAACACACACACACAGACATACATACACACATATATATATATATATATATATATATATATATATATATATATACATATATATATATATATGTATATATGGGAAAGAAGTGTATACCTAAGAGCTCATTTTTCCGTGTTTTGACAAAATAATAATGAGATCTAACAGACAGTAATGCCAAGCAATGTACGGGGGAAGTCATTAGAACCAATGGAATGTAAATAGGAAGAAAGAAAAGTGGATGAAAAAATAACCAGCCGTGGGCAATGACCTGCCCACCAGGCAGGTCATTGCCTGGTGGGCAGGTGGTGGGGAGAAGACTACCTTGGCGAAGACAGGAACACACTTAGTGTGATTGATGAAGTGATAGCACCATCTTAGTGCCTGACACCCATTCGAGTCTCTTCTACAGCGGTTGATGATGCTTGTGTTGACCTCGTAGTGGGGCCTCTACGCAAGAACTGTTTTAAGAAGGACATACTTGTGCCTTGTTATGTTGTGTGCATACCCGCAGGGCGCGGGTTCGAATCCCGGCTGCGGCGGCTGCATTTCCGATGGAGGCGGAAATGTTGTAGGCCCGTGTGCTCAGATTTTTGTGCACGTTAAAGAACCCCAGGTGGTCTAAATTTCCGGAGCCCTCCACTACGGCGTCTCTCATAATCATATAGTGGTTTTGGGACGTTAAACCCCACATATCAATCAATCAATATGTTGTGTGCATGACAAAAGGAGTAGCAACATTGTGGGCGCTGAACTGTTCTGCCACGCTGGTTGTGCTTCCTCGCGGGATGAAGATAGCTCTCTTTGATGAAGCCTCATGCAACTCGATAGCAGCAATAGCTACGGACCTCCCCACCTCTTCCTCTGCTTGTGATACTCACCATAATGAAGATCTAATGCTCGCTATGATTAGCAAGACTCTCAGTACGACGAAACGGCCAGCGCTGGTGCAGGTCCTTTCCCGGCATGTTGCTGCTTTCGACTTCAAACATAGAGGTGCACCCCTTCAGTAACCCTCGTCCCGCGCTCGTCACAGAATAGACACTGGCTCTGCACAACCCGTCCGAAAACGAGTGTCATCATCTGAGCGCAAAGTTATCGCTGAACAAGTAAAGGACATGCTGAACAAAGGGGTCGTGCAAGAGTCGTCCAGCCCGTGGGCAGCCCCGGTCATTCTTCTCAGAAAAAAGGATGGTTCCTGGAGATTCTGCGTAGATTACAGGCGTCTAAACACTGTGACGAAGAGAGATGTATATCTTTTACCGCAGATTGATGACGTCATAGATTGCTTGCATGCCGCTTCCTATATTTAAACGCTTGATTTGTGGTCAGGTTATTGGCAAATACCTATGGAGCCCGGCGACAAAGAAAAGACTGTTTTCGTAACTCCGGATGCCTTATTTGAATTTATTGTCATGCCTT